AAAATGCAATTCACCTTTTGAACCAGCTTTTCAAATTTCTTTCCTGGATCGGACCAGACACGGAGTACTCAGACTTACGACCTTTCGATAAATTCGGTCTTGGGAACATTTGCCTTACTGTACTACTTTTGTCAATTTCTGAGGCTACAGGGAACTGAACTATCAACCTTGATAGCAGGCTGTTCTTATCCTCGAACGCTCTCGAGCTACAGCAGACAATTTCTTCCTTCTTCCTTCCATCGAGTCGGAGTGTACCGGACCCATTTTTCCGATCGTTTCACCGCTTCGCGTGTACCAGACCCATTTTTCCGATCATTTGACCGTTTCTGACAGTAATTACTAATATCTGGCTGGAGTTGCCCTTGGTAAGGGCCATAGCTCGTATGTTTGTCTTTATTTGGCTCATGCAAGTCAAGTCCGTATATACGTATAGCTCACCCTGGGTACTGAACTTTTTACCAATATCCAGTATTACTCCTTTTTCAGGATTTCATACGGTAGAAGCAAGACTTTCTCCTTTTGCTCAGACTCCTTCATCTCGAGAGATAATCTGCTGCTCAGTTTTTCCTTCTCTTTTTCATCGCTGTTCCGGAAATTCGGCATTACTATCGACTACTGAGAAGCAGAAATCCAGAATCCGTTCTGAGCATATGAACCTCTTCCCGTTCTAGAAACTGTTGAACTCCTTCCATTTTCCTTTCTCAGTGAAAAGGAATATCATTTATGAAATCGAAGCCCCTCCTGCTCAAGAATATGTTACTCCTCGAAAAAAAAACTGAGCGAAGTTCTGTTGGAACTCCTTTTTTGTCAATATACTGTGAGCAACAGCTCGCGGCAGACATTCCCGTGAAAATTATAGAGCGGTCGAAGGTGAAATCGACACCTTCGACTGCTCTATAATTTAGGTTGTTCAGTGGGCCACGATTTTTACGAGCCTATGAAGGTGTGAATCTGTCAATGAGTTCATCCAGAACACATCCAGAAACACCTTAACTTCCTCCTCGTGATCGTACAAACGTGGATTCAATTGAGCCAGCCACTCAAGGCTCCTATCCCACCAATATTCTTCACCTGTCACCAAATTACATAGGAGGATGGAAGCAGTAGCCTATACCTGCTTCTGACCGTCTGCAAATGAAAACGTCAGATCTTTTTTCCCTTGACTGATTCCATTCTGGTTCCTCTCCTTCCTTGAGATTTATTGATTCGAATTAAACTCTAAAAGTTGCTCCTGATCCTAATCCATCATCTGTGGGTGATTATGTCGAGGGCCACCCACCAGCCGACAGCTAATCAGCCACATTTTTCGTTTTTTGTTTAAAAATAGCTGTTCTGAACGAAAGAAAAAAGTGATATGCAGCAGGTTGCTGGCCCTCACCGATCCAACTGCCCCTCACCCGCGACTGTTTGAAACTCGTTCTGTTGGTTAGCGAATTCATTCTGCTCATTTCGAACTACTAACTCTCCACGAGGTTGAGCGTCTTCAAAAGACCCAATCAAACTCACTAATGAGATACTTTACCTTCATTCCTCTTTTCAATCCCAGAGATTTCTCTGTAGCCATATTTTTCACCCAGTCCCACTTTCAAGTTTATGTTTTCGGCCTAGCTAGTTTTCGAGTAGTTTCCCAATCCCATTTCCCAGTTTGTCCCGGCTTAGCCAGTTTAGTTTTAACTAGTTGCTTAAATGACTCTTCACTCTTGTTCCAAAGTAGTAACACACAGCAATGTGATGAGATCAACCGAATTCGAGATGAACAGGGTGTAGGACGTGGTCGAGGATGCCTTATACTAAAAACGGGATCCATCCCATATAGCTCATTACGGTCAGCCCGCCTCGATGCCCTTCAAGCCTCCAAATTATATCTCCCATCTCCAAGACCACGGACTTGCACGTGCTGAGTAGTTTCAAATCCCTCGTTGCACTTTCGCGTCAAGTTTTTCAATTCATTTTCTCGTTAACAGATGGTCTCTCCATTACGACTGTTTGACGCCTGCCTCATTTCTTTTCTCGCTGCTCAGGCACTTCTATGAATTATACCCATGTCCCTGCAAGAACTCCAACTTTTTCGCGTTTTTCTCACTTTGTTCAGATTGCTTACATCATTGCCTGAGTTTAGTTCGAGCCTAGAAAAAAACGGAAAGACTGCGATCAAGATAACCTGGTGAGAGTGTCCAGATACCTATCTACTGGCCAGTATGTGGGTATCTATAGGTTATCCCTTCGAGCGGGCGTTCGAATCTGCTCCATGGTCTTTGTTCAAAAGTCTTCTGAAAACTCCGAGAAGAAATTCAAGAGTTAATGGAAGAAGTGAATCTCTTCTNACTGCGATCAAGATAACCTGGTGAGAGTGTCCAGATACCTATCTACTGGCCAGTCTGTGGGTATCTATAGGTTATCCCTTCCAGCGGGCGTTCGAATCTGCTCCATGGTCTTTGTTCAAAAGGCTTCTGAAAACTCCGAGAAGAAATTCAAGAGTTAATGGAAGAAGTGAATCTCTTCTGTCTAGGGGGTGGTTGAAAAGTAACAGTGCACATAAAAGGACCGTTTTCTGACAAGAGCTATCTGTGGCAATCCTTAGTTTGATTGAACAAAAATATTACCAAAAACGGGTGTATAGACGAATTCCGGAAGAACGAATTTGACACTTCACAGGGTCCGTGGAACGAACCCATGCTTGATAGCTGCCATGGCCAACCCAACCTTCCATAGCTCTGGGGTCGGTCAATTGTTGCTAGACTCATCTGGGAGGATAAGAGCACTGACTTGTTCATCGGCTGGCCATTGCAAGTCAAGCTATAGTAACGCATGCAACCCTCGCACTCATTCATCGAATCCGATAAAGGGCTCTAACCTAAAAGTATGTTTTGGGGGCCAATGAATAGGCAGGGGACGGACGGTAACTTGTGCCCCACCAAAGACCATAGATTAGGCTAATTCGATGCCACCTACAATCCTGCGCCAAAAACAATTGTGTGGTGCATTCCAAAAAAGGTTTGGCTAACAACGAGTGACATTAATTTTTATCAAACTGTATAACCAGCGGTATGAGTGAGACCTGAGCTACTTGTTCGTAAGAATCGTTAAGGATCGCACTCCAAAAGGCCCCCTAAGTTCGGGGCCCAGATATGCTTCAAACACGTTCAGTAATAAAGCCATCATAATTGCATACTTCCATAGCCGAGTGCCTTATCGCTGAGAGAAAACAACAATAAAAATCATTATATACCATCGAGCTATAACGTTTTTATGCTTTTCACACTCGTCAGCTCGGCAAATGCTTCGTTCTCAGCCCATTGCAATTCGTTAACCTGCCACTGCTTCAGTCGTCTTTTTCAAAACTCATGCCAACGCTAAAACAAAGGTTTTCTTGGCCTCCTTGATGTTGACAACTTTCTTTTGTTTGTTTCTGTTTAAGATTCAACTTTCGTACACTTCCAAAAAAATTTTACTGTTTTTTTTTCTGAGAATTCTGGTCGATCGCATCGAAGCCGCATTGAGAGACTAGTGTTGTTACCGGCTGCCCTATTTTTGGTATAATTCTCAAAAGTCTAGTCTATAAACTAGCTAGCCCGAAGCCTAATCCTGGTCGATCGCATCGAAGCCGCATTGAGAGACTCGATCGCATCGAAGCCGCATTGAGAGACTAGTGTTGTTACCGGCTGCCCTATTTTTGGTATAATTCTCAAAAGTCTAGTCTATAAACTAGCTAGCCCGAAGCCTGTACAGCCCACCTATCGCCATCGTTATTTCTAAACAGGGAATAAAGTAGACCTCCAACCATTCAATTCGCTATCTAGGAAAACCAGCGTACTTCTCCGGTCGGTGGTTGCCTTGTTCCTTTCGTTGCAAGCTGCCATGTGGATATGTGACCTCGGGTGCGGCACTGTTCAAGTGATAGTTGACATCAAGAGGACTCTGGTCTAGTTTTTTTGTCCGGA